AGAGCCTGCAGGGACTTCGACTTCCGGGGCGCGCAAGGAACTACTTCCGGCAGCGACAGCCCTTGCCCTCCCCCCGCCCGCGGTTGGTCCATTTTCCAAGCTGACGGCCAGCACCTGGTGCGCAGGCGCGGGCGACCGCGGCCGGAAGCGAGGGGGCGCGCGTCCTCCTCCTCGGAAGTCACGCCTGCTGTCACTTTTACCCAGATTCCTTCCTGCTGGGTTAGCTCTGCTGGTTGTTGGTGCGGCCTTGACGGACGCAGTCACGGCGTTCCTGTTTAGAGGGTTTCAGTAGCATAAGAACTCTTGGGAAAGTTGAGTCCCAACTCTAATCCAGCAGGATCTGGAGTGGGCCCTGGAATCTGCATTTTCAAACAGTCCAGTTAATTCTAGTATAGGTGGACCATATTCTGATTCCTGGAACTGTGCCAGCCTGGTAGCCATCAGGAGCACTTATTAAAAGTCTGGGATAGCCCTAACCGGTTTGGCTCAGTGGATAGAACATCAGCCTGCGGACTCAAGGGTCCCAGGTTTGATTCCCGTCCAGGGCATGTGCCTTGGTTGCGGGCACATGCCCAGTAGGGAGTGTGCCGGAAGCAGCTGATCAATGTTTCTCTCTCATTGATGTTTCTAGCTCTCTGTCCCTCTCCCTTCCTCTCTGTAAAAAAAATCAATAAAATGTATTTTTTTAAAAAAAGTCTGGGATTCTTGCTCCATCCCTGGAGATTCTGTCGAAATGGACCTGGTCCAGCATTCTATGGGTTTGTTCTGAGTGATTCTTATGCAGACTTGTTAATACGCAGTGTGGGCTGTTAGCGTAAACTGTGGTCACATGCCCTCACTTTTCTGATGGTGGTTGTCAACTGACTTTGTTCCTGGAAACTCCAAGGTTTATAAACAAAGGTCACTTCCAGGTGATTATGAGAAGCAACCATAACCACCCCATGGATTTCACATACACACACACACCCTCACATTCCCATTGTTATGAATGAACGATTCTATTTCTGTTCAAAGCAACTCCAGTTCATCAAGGGGCCTTGCTTTAGGGGCTTCATCAAGGCGGGTGATGCTGTGACATGCAGTCATCTGTATGTACCTCCTCTCCCACTGAGAATCCGGGCTGCTGGGTGTCCCTAGGACAGGTTGGAACTTGTCAGATCTATCAGGATGCTGAGGAGGGAAAGGTCAGAGGGGATGGTTGGGAAGCCTGGCATCACAGCATCAAGTTGGAAAGGCACCTTAGCTCTTTGCCCTTTGTTTTCCCCAAGCAGTGGCTGGCGCCCGGTGGGCATCAGTTGTTGTTGTTACATACCCTTGAAGGAAATTTCATCCAGGCTGTGGAATCATCCTCAGAACTGTCCCTGCTCCCGCTAACAGGTCATTAAAGCCCCAGAACCTGTAAAATCATGCTCCTCTGGGTGGCTAGGTATAAACTGGTCTCTGGAGGGTCCCATCCTGCGTTCAGGTGCTGCCCCCTGCTGGCCATCTGTCTTACCTCACAGCCTTTGTCTTCTCCAGAGTCCACCATCCAGAACAGGCTGGATTCATCCTGGCCTCCTCCTCTCCCACTGCCAACACGCTGGTCATCTTAGCTACTAAGTAGACCTTTAATCTGCCCACTCGTCCTTACCACCGCTCATCTGGGGCCCTATCACCAGGCTCCTGTCCATTACGCACCCTGTAGAGATTATCCCAGAAATCAAATTGGGTCTTATCCCTCCCTGGCTTTCTTTTGTGGCTTTGCATTGCCCTTTGGGTCCATCCGAGCTCCTCGGCCATGGTCAGGCCCTCAGCGGTCTGGGCCCTCCTCTATGCCCACCCCACCCTACATTTCTTGTGCTGGCTCTCACTGGTCTTGAAGTGCTAGTTCCTTCGCTTGCTGTTTCCCTGCCCCATGCAGGACGTGCTCACCCAGGCCAGGTGCAGAGCAGGCAGACTTGGGCCCTCAGGTATTTGGGAATGAGGCAGGCCACACTCTGGAAAGGTTGGGAACCTGCTTTATTGCACAGTCCAAGAATTGTTCACTCTGCAATCAGGGGCACAGATGAGTGGTGGTCAAAGTTCCACTTGAGCAAGGCTCCCACTTTCTCCTCCTCCTGCCAGGCCTGATCCTGGCAGAATCCAGACCAGCTGCACTTTCCTTCAGGTCTCAGGAAAATGTAGTTCTGTGTCCACATCCCAGAGCTGCAGCTCCAAGCCACTTCGAGCCCTCTTTCCTGTCCCCAACCTCACCCCCACCCTCTGAGGACATGGAAATCAGCTGGGCAGGGAAAGGGTGGCCAGCAAACTTGGCCTCAGCCAGGACTCTGCCACTGAAAAGTGATTTCCCACCACTTGTGAGTCACTAGATACAGATGAGGTTTTCTGTACAACCCACACACAATCCCCCCACCCCAGGAGAGCCACAGGGGTCAGGACAGGAAGGGACTTTGAAAGGGGCCTGTCGGATATCAAGGGGAGGCCCAGCCTGAGCTCTGAGCAACAGGCCAAGCCCAGACCAAGAAATCCAGGGAGACACCACACACCCTCCCGCAGGTCCAAAAACAATGCCCACTACGTGGGAGGAAGGCCAATCAAATAAATAGTCAATAAATACATGAAATTGGCTTCTTCCTCCAGGGAGGCCATGCGGCAGAGAGGAGGCCCTGGTTAGCTCTGAGACCGGGCAAATGTCTGGGATCTCAGCCTCAGCAATCCTGGGAGTGAGGGCATGGGCTGCGGGTCCCAGGATCTCATTGGTCTGCTGCCTGCTCAGCCAGTCAGGGCCAATGCCCTTCCATCCCTCACCATCCCAGCCGGCCTCAGAAGCCCTCTGTGCTGCCCAAACCCTGCCTACACCTGTCTATCTTCATCCTTCGCAGCTCAGGTGACCTAGGGGCTGCTGTAAGGGGCTCTGAAATCTGCCCTCACTGCAGCCGAATGAGTGGAGTCCAAACTGGGGGCAGGAGCTGCCTCGTTTCTGAGCCTCTAGGGAGGAAGGGGTGCTTGTCCGCAGTGTGGGGGGCAGGTACAGGAGGAGAGAGGAACAAGGTATTCCAAGGAGGGACACTTTCTGAGCAGGCCACTTTACGTGACTTTACAACCATAAAGAATGCTAAACATACAAGTTTCAATCGGGACCCAAATTACCATGGTGTTTTGGGTGTGAATGATTTTCCATTACTTCAACACAGAGGGATCACGACACAGCTGTGGGGGTGGAACAAAGGGGTCTTCAGGGGCAGCTGAGCCAAGGTTATCCGGAGAGCTGGGGGACCTGAAAAGCACATCACATGAGAGGGTCACCTCCTCGCTGTGGACACCCCCTCTCCACCACCCCTCCCTGCCTCTGCCCCAGTCACTCAGCTTATCTCAGCTTCCTCTGTCCAGTTACTGCCTCGATGCTCCTGGGCCCCAGGCCATCCTCTCTCAGGACAGGCTCTGCATCCCCGGCCCTGCCCTCTGAGTCCTCTGAGGAAGCACCTCGAGGACCTGGTTTGCTCTCCAGCACAGTGCCAGGCAGGCGGACAGTAGGTGCTCACCACTTTTTTTTGTCTGATAAACGAACATCTAAATCCAAACGTAAACGCTTCAAACGGTCCTGCCTGTTCTCTTCCTCCACCCCAGGTGCCCCCTACCCACTGCCCAGGCCCAGTACCTGGGCTGAAGCAGCAGCGGTCACTCCCACAGGAAGCGCACATACCAGATGGTCTCATTCTTCAGCTGTGGCCCAAACAGAGGGTTCAGCTGGGCCAGGATGGCGATGAGCCAGCTGCCAGGGACAGCACATTGAGGGTGAGCTGGGACACAGCAGGAACCCCCCAGGTATGTCTCCTGCGAGGCTTGTGGTCACATGACCCACCCAAACACCAGCTGCAGGGTCTGTGAGGGGCCCACAGAGCCACCCACACTCCAGCCAGCAGGTCGGCTGGGTTTGGGGTTCGTGGGTTTTGGTTTAGATTAGGTTTGATTTGATGTTCTGTAGATTTATTAGGTCTCTGAGTTGAGGCTGGACTCTGGGGTGAGGGAAGAGGCAAGACAGCCTCCTGGGATCATCGGAAGTGATTCCAGCTGTGCCCCAATACATCCCTGGTGCAGGCCACTCCAGTCTGCACCTGGGAGCGGGACAGGGTTGTTCTGATGGGAGACATGTCAGAATCACCCCCTTTCAGGAACAAGATGAAGGAACTACCCCAATATGAGGAAGCGGGGACCAGAATGCCCACTTCCTGGCCCGATGAGGATAGGACAGGGTCTGTCTCTCAGGCCAGTGAGCTTTCCAGCGACCACAGGCTGCACAGATGGGGTCGGGGGTGTCAGGCCCTATCACCATGACATCGTTTGCCCACGGAAGCAGGCCCCAAAGACCCTGAGGTGCGTGACTTCACATGCCTCAAATGCTGGTGCCAATGGGGCTCGGTCTGGTATTGTAGGCAGGACCCAGCTCTTCCACCTCTGAATCCCCACGGCAGCCAATCACCTGCCTGCTGCCCGGGACGCTGTCAGAAATGGCTGCCCGCTTATCATTGGCGTTACCCCAAGTTTATGTTTTGTAAATATAATTCCTAGGCGTGGCATTTGCTTAGGTTGCCCCACCTTTCTGCCCATGTGCATCTGGTCTGAAGCCCAGGTTCCCTTCCCTTTGCTGATGTGGAGTTCGCAATTACCCACACGCTGCCTATGTTCTGTCTCCCACCTTCCCAGTCACTAATCCTCTGTCCTGGTCTCTGAGCCTTCAAACCTCAGCCCCTCTCAGGCCCTCCCTGGGAGAGATGGGGACATCTGTCCAGCCCTAAAAGACCAAGAAACAGCACAGAGAAAGGGCCTCAGAGATGCTCTGTCCAGGGAGAATTCTGGAAAACCACATGCCTCATGTATTTAAACTAACATCTGAAAGTTGTCATTATTTTTTTTAACAGGTTTTATTTTTTTGTTAATAGGAAGTAGAAATATTAAACATTATATAAAGTGAAATTAGAATTGACTAATAGGAATAACTAGCTCATGATCTCATCAGAAAAAACAGGTTTTAACTATGTAAGAGGCACCAAGTCTGAAATCAATCAAGCAAATTTTTTTAAATGTGGGTATTAACCTATGCATTTGAAAAATTTGGCAGTCCTAAGAAATATCCTAGAATACTTTGAAAAGAATCAGCTACCTTTTAAAGAATCAGCATTTTATCATGCTACTGTCCTACCCTGAACACCCAACTACACCAGTCTTAACCCAAAAAACAGTGTATGAGACCCAGGAAGATGGGACGCCACAGAGGCCTCACTGGGCTTGACTGATAATGAGACAGGCCTCCCTAACTCCAGAACGCGGACTTACTCCTCGGTTTGGCAGCCAGGATGATTTAAACGCGAAGCAAGGAAACACGAAAGGATTGGAGGGGTGGGGAGGGGCTATCATGAACAGCAGTTTTAGAAAGAGACCATCTAGGCCAGTGATGGCAAACTCAGTTTTTTGGTTGATTTTTCTTTGTTAAATGGCATTTAAATATATAAAATAAATATAAATCTTTGTTTTACTATGGTTGCAAAGATCAAAAAATTTCTATATGTGACACGGCACCAGAGTGAAGTTAGGGTTTTTCAAAATGCTGACACGCCGAGCTCAAAAGGTTCGCTATCACTGCTCTAGGCATTGAGGACCTGGAAATTGATTCCCTTGAACTGTCCAGGTTCTCAAGTCCCTCAGATGCTCTTCGATGTCCCCAGGCCCCCTTTCCAGGTTTGGAGACTGCATCTGGTGGCTCTCACTGGCTGTATCACAACCCCCCAGGGACGCGCATTATGAATTCGGGTTCCCAAGCGCAGACCTTGAGCGCTGTGATTGGGTGGGTTTCGGGTGCAGCTCTCAGAGCCGCATTTCACATTCTCTCCAGGTGGTTCTGATGCCAAGTTGGGCATGAAAAGCACCGAGCTGGCCCAGCTCATTTCACACCTGAGAAAGCCGCAGCCCGTGGACACCACAAAGCTTGTCCGGGTGACCATTTAGACCCAGAACCGGAGTTCATGACTTCCAGCCTGTTGCTCTCTCTGCCATTCCAAATCGCCTCCTTTCCTGTGTTTGACAGGTCCAGCCTTTCACTACCCGGACAGAGGGGAGGGGAGGGGGGGGGGGGAGGAGAAAGGCACTGGCTGATCTTGAGCTGGGAGAGAGGTACTTACAAGAGGTAACAGCAGACAGCAGTGGCTACCAGCATGGTGATGATCACTCTGCAATGGA